ACACACAGTTCTTAAACCCTCTTTTCCTGTCTGCTTTATTTCCAGATCCATGGAAGGGCCCCTTATGCACTGGGAACCGGAATGAGATTTCTAACTCCTGTTTCTCTCCTTTGATATGAATTAGAAGTGAACGCTACTGGCCTTGATAAGGCTTCCTGCCTTGACAATATCATTTCTTATTATTCTGTTCTAAGAACACAAGATCTCCCAAAGGGTCACCTGTCCCTGTCACTGAGTAGGACATCAGCCACGAAGGAATGCCTAGGGACCAGGACTGAGACATCCCTCCCTTGACTCTGGCTGTCAGCAGCCGAGGGACTCCTTGAGCTAGCCACTGGAGAGACACTGATAAGCTTTCCTCACCTCACCTAATTATCATTTTAAGTGTCCCCATTTCTGAAGCAGGGGGCTCACAGATTAATTAAATACTCTGGAGAAGTTCGTTCTTTCGTTTCAACCTGCTGCCTGGTGATTTCACTGGATGCTTGTTCTGCCTTGGACTGTGAAAACCAGTAAATAACCATCCTCTTCTTTTTGTGCTACTGGAAATTTGAGAGACCTCGAATATGCCCACTCCCACCAGACCTCTCTCTTCTATGCTGAAGAGCCTCGATCTCTGCCTGGAGGATCAGCAGCTCCCGCAGTGCCTCCCAGTGGAAACAACTACCTTGGACAGATTCAACTACACTGGCCATTTGTGTCAGAATCTGGCTCTTGGCCACTATGGAAGTCCCTAGCCAGGCTCTGATAGCATCAGTGTTGGATGGCGTTGAAAGTGAAGGCTTTAGGCTGGAGGAAGTGACCTCATTTAGTGGTTTTACTAAAGGCTTTGGCAAAAAAAGACGGAAAGTTTGAGGCAAATGTGCTGTTGACACTGAATTGGGCTATTCTGGCTCTGCAGAAGAGAACTGGGATGTCATGGAGAAACAAATGTTTGACCTCAGGGAGTGGAAGAGAGAGAGGGTGAAATTTAAAAATATGAAGTCCAAGGTCATGTGCTTAGAAAGCAGTAAAAATTTCTTCTCCATGTTGGATGCATCCAGGATGGAAACATCCCTGGATAAAGGCTGAGTGCTACTCATGATTCATGGCAGTGGGACAGGGCCAAAGGGAAGGCAAACGTGACATTAAACTGAAAGACAAGAGGCAAGTCTAATGGGAACATGGAAAAAAATCACATTATTTTAAGAATCATCAGTGAACTCTTGAACTATTATGTAGCCCCCAGCTCAACCCCAGTGAGGAAAGTGTACAGAGAGGAAATACTGTCATGACTGCACAAACAGAAAAAGTCTATCCTACAAAAGAAGACTGGAAGGACTTGGCTTTTTAGCTTAGCAGCATGGTGGTAAGGGAGGATACGAATGCTGTGTATAAATACATTAGGAAGATAAATAACATGAAGGAAAAAGAACTACTGGCTCTAGGCCAACTTTGGCATGAGAGCAAGTGGCAATAAACTTGTCCCAAATATATTTAGGAAGAAAAGTAAGCGTTTTCTAGCCAAAAGAGAAGCAAAAATGGGCGCAGCTTTTCAGTTAGATGGGACAGATACTCTAACAGATTTGACAAATTCATAACTATAAGACATGGCGTCTCAAAACCAGGGGATGAGATGTGCAGGACCAGAAAGTGCCTTCTAGTCTTGCACTCCCCTTGTCTTATTTTCACTGTCCTCTACCTGAGGAATGATTGGTTTTGGCAAATGGTATTAATGCACAGCTCCAACAGTTCAAGAATTAGCTGCTACAGTCTCCCTTCTCAATCAAAGCTGCTATATCCCTCTTCTCCCTTTACTGAGTATAAAGCAAATGTAAATTAAATTTATTATTGTACAACACAGCTTCTGCTTCCTGAATTATTTGTTATTAAAACATTTGCTATCTACCATGAAAAACACATAATACAAAATTTCTCTTTCATTGCAAAGTACTGAAAGTATTTTTTTTTTCATCTTATGAGACTCTCTGCTGCTGCTAAGGGTAACTTACCTGCAAACAGCCGAAGACAGGAGAAAACAATCATATAATTTGTATTTAAACATACTATACTGTACATCCCTAGACAATAAATTATTCTTTCTCATAGTATTATATCAGAGCAACTTCTATTAAAAGCCATACCTACTGATTCCCTCTTCTGACACTGTAATTTACCACCGATAAATGTTCATAAACAGTTTGACTGAAAAATCCATAAAGCCATTTCAGCTTTATTTTAAGTTCCATTTAATGTCCCTCAAAAATGATTTCATCAATGTGTTTCCATTAGCTGGCTCTCTGCCCAATAACTTAATTCCACACAATCAGTCAGGAACTTATAAAGCATATGACAGGATCTACCTAAAGTGTTTTGAATAACCATAAAGATTCACTCGAAGAGTGGGGTTTTTTTTTTCCCTTCTAGTGCATAAGGCAAGGGGACACAAATGTCAAAGAC